GGGCTTTGGGATCTTGGGTCTGATGCCATCCGGAGACCCAACATGTCACAGTAGCCCCTGGCCAGCATGGGGTCCTGGGGATGCCAAGTGACCGATGTGGTCCCGGCCCGTGGCCATCCAGTGGGTTTATGGACCCATCCCGTGGTGGTGCCCTGGTCTGCAGGTCCACAGCAGGTTGGTGGCCCTGAGCAGCTGCCAGGATCCTCTCACTGTTTCCCTGACCTGTGGAGTGAGGGCCACCATGGCAGAGAAGGCAAAGTCAGAGCCCCTGAAACCACGTTCAACCCCGGCAAGGACAGCAGCTTGGAAGTCAGGCTGCCTCTGTAGCCCCCCGGCTGGTGGGCTGTGGGCACAGGCAGGGGTTATCCCACTGGGTTAGCATGAGGGAGCACTTGTAGGACCAGGGAGGACAATGCCTGGAGCTCGGAGGAATCACTTCTGTGGCTTCCATGCTGGGGCACAGAGTGGGCGATGAGTGACACCCACCTGACAAGCCGGTGACTGAGGCTCACTCCTCAGATGGGGTCTGGGTCACAGCGTCAGATGTAACCTCTGCCAGCAGGAGCGCGGGCCGGGGTGGAGGAGGAGGAGGGCCTCCTGCCGTGGGGGTGCCTGCAGACTGGCTCATCACCAGCCCCCCCGCGACTTCCACGGCTGTCTCTGTTGCTTTGGCTGCCACCACCCTGAGGAATCAGCCACAGACAAGCTTAACATGGCATCCGCCGGAACAGATGCAAGCAGTGCTCGGGCTCCCAGCTGCTCTGGGGCCTGGGTTGTGCCCTTCGGGCTGCATTTGGTTTAAGCAGCAGCTGTGGGGGCAGATAAAACTCACTCATGGCTGCGCGCAGTGGCTCACACCTGTAATCCCAACACTTTGGGAGTCTGAGGCAGGCGGATCATGAGGTCAGGAGATTGAGACCTTCTTGGCCAACATGGTGAAACCCCGTCTCTACTAAAATACAAAAAATTAGCAGGGCGTGGTGGCGCGTGCCTGTAATCCCAGCTACTTGGGAGGCTGAGGCAAGGGAATCACTTGAACCCGGGAGGCGGAGGTTGCAGTAAGCTGAGATTGCACCACTGCACTCCAGCCTGAGTGACAGAACAAGTCTCTGTCTCAAAAAACAAACAAACAAACAAACAAAACTCACACATGGCCGGGCACAGTGGCTCAGGCCTATAATCCCAGCACTTTGGGAGACCAAGGCGGGCAGATCATGAGGTCAAGAGATCGAGACCATCCTGGCCAAAGTGGTGAAACCCTGTCTCTACTAAAAATACAAAAATTAGCTGGATGTGGTGCCATGCACCTGTAGTCCCAGCTACTTGGGAGGCTGAAGCAGGAGAATCACGTGAACCCAGGAGGCGGAGGTTGCAGTGAGCTGAGATTGCACCACTGCACTCCAGCCTGGGGGACAGAGCAAGATTCCATCTCAAAAACAAACAAAATGCACTTGCGGTCAGTGCCGTGTCTAGCGCCCTCCATAGCATTGCAGGGCGCTCGTCCAGCTTGCATGCAGGGCAGACCTGGGGAATGTGAGCTGGGTGGGGGTTGGTGGATAAATGCCCAGCCACTCATTCTTCAAAAGGACAATTCAGGCTGCACAGGATGGCTCATGTCTGTAATCCCAGTGCTTTCAGAGGCTGAGGTGGGAGGATCGCTTGAGTCCCAGGAGTTCGAGACCAACCTGGGCAACATAGTGAGACCCTGTCTATACTAAACGTTTTGTTTTAAATTTAAAAAGCAACTTAAAAGGACAATATGGAGGCACATTCCCCTTGGCTCTGGGCAGAGGGTCGCCAGTGGGGCTGGGACCTGGCCGTGCCAGGTTGTAAAAGTGCATTCCTGTTTTTCCTCCTTCCTCATCCCTCCCCACTCCCTGCTCTCGCTCCTGCCTCTGTGGATCACCCTCTCTACGGAGCCGAATGGCTCCCAAAGTCACTCAGGACCTCAGAATGTTGACCTTATTTCAAATTAGAGTCTTTGCAGATGCAGTTAAGACAAGGCCAAAGTAGAGTGGACCTGAAATCCGATGGCAGGTCCCTGAGAAGAAGAAGAAGAGGAGAGACAGAGACAGCAAAATGACTCAGAGACGGAGGCAGAGGCTGGGGCAGTGCACCTGCCAGCCCAGGAGGGCCAGAGGTTCCGGCAACTCCAGAAGCGGGAGGGAGGCCGGGGGAGGGTCCTCCCTGGCGCTTCCAGAGGGAACTGGCCCTGCAGCATCTTGATTTTGGACGTTCGTCTCCAGGAAAGTACAGATTTCTGTCATTTTAAGGTACCTGGTTTGTGGTACTTTGTTTAGGCAGCGGATACCCCCAGCCCCAAATAAACTTCCAGCACCCAAGTCCTTGTCTCAGTCTCTGTTTGTAGGGGAACCCACAGGAGGACACTCCTAGGTGTAAGCTCCACTTGGCCTGTGCACCCGCCTGCCTCACTGGAGGGGAGGGGCAGGGTAACAGCCGATGCCTGCCCCACACCTGCCATGGGACAGAGAAGCTGGATGCTATCCCCAATGTCCTGTCCCCTTTCACTCCACCTGAGTCCTGCAGCCTCAGGGAAGAGCGGGCCCAGTTCTCAGGGGCACTCAGGGGCCACTGCTCATGGTACACAGTCCAGCTTCCACGGAGACCAGGAAGCCACTAGCCCCCAAAGACTTGTCCCTGCTGAGATGAGGGTATATGGAGCCCTGGCAGCCTCTCTGCCCACCAGCCTCTGCCCCAGGTGCCCCTGTCTCGGCAACACTGGCATCCCCTCCCCAAACAGGTTCCTCTCCGCTGCAAACCCTGACCCGCCCCCGCCTTCGTCTGCTCCTGCCCTCACTACCGGAATAGAAGTCGCGTTTGAAAGCATGCGCCCTCCCGTCCTTCCTGGCCCTGTAAATATGTGGGCAGAAACAGCAGCCTGCTGGGGGGAGTGATTGCTGGTTGCAGAATCAGGCACGGCTGCTGCCCAGGCGGGCCTGGCTGCGTGGGTGCCCGAGGCAGTTGCAAAGGCTGGCTTTAAATAGCTCCTGGTGGGTACAAACCCGGGAAAGAGGGCAGCCTGCGGCCGCAAGGAGGACAAGGCAGAGATGGGGGCCAGGGTCCTCGCAGCAGAGAGGGGTGTGGGGAGTGGCTCAACAGCCTCCAGGTCCAGGGGATGCCCCCAAATAGTTCCCAGAATCTTGAACCAACCCACCCTTCCCCCAAAGGCCCAGGAGTTGGAGCCGACCCTCCCTGGCTGCCCTGGGTGGAAGGCCTGCCCTTGGGGCGGGAGCCTGGGAGCCTGGGGTGGGCAGTGGTGGTGGGCAGCCTGGGGCCCATCCCATAGCTATAGTGTGTGCCATCTGCGGCCTGGGCTCCTATCCCCAGAGCAACGTGGGCTCCAGGGAGGAGGGAGCGGTAACCCTGCAGGGAGGCCCAGGGAGCAGAGGGCAGGAGGCGGGACGGTGAGAGCCGGCCCTGCAGGGGTGTCTCCATCCTTGGACAGGGAGCTGGCAGGCTCAGCCGCCTCACCCTGGTGTCAGGAGGTGGCCCGGAGCCCCAGTTGACCCAGATCCAGTTCTGCTGCTGCCCGGCCACCTGCTCTCTGCTTGCCCCAAAGCTCACTTCTGTTCTGTGTGCTGCTTGTGGCCACACCAGAGCCTGGTCCATCCCACCCCCTCCATCCCTAGCCTGTCCCACCCGCAGAACGGCCCTGCCAAGCCTCACAGCCTTGTCCTGCAGAGCAGGGGTGCTAAAGGGCAGCCTGGAAATGAGGAGCGGTCATTAGGAAGTGGCGTGGGGGGACCTTCCAGCAGGGGACAGAGGTGGTGCATGGGGCATGGTCTGGGCAGTGGTGGGCAATGCCCTCATCTGCTCTGGGGCACAGCCTGGCCCTGAGGGAAGCATCTCAGCCTGCATTGGTCCCCGGGTGCAATGCCTGGGCCCCACTGGTGACTTGATCTTGCTGCTTGCTCACCCTGCCAGGGCTGCTAAGGACAGGTGACTCACACGGTCACCCCCAGGTCCCCAGTGGTATGGAGATGGGGGCCACCTAGGCCTAGCTGATTCCACAGGGCACTGACCTGGCCAACTTTGCCACCTTGCGAGCTGCCATGTGATGGCTCTGGACGCCTGGGTCCCACAGCAGATGGCAGAGCCCCGGACGCCTGGGTCCTGCGGTGGATGGCAGAGCCCCAGCAGTTGTTCCAACTGCTCCCTTCAGATTCTTCCACAAGTAATGACCCGGTGCCCTGGAAAACCTGGACCCCTCATTAAGAGCTGCCTGTCAGCTGCTCTGATGGCCGGGGGCTCCTTGGGCTGCAGTATGCTCACCCCATGTCCATGGCAGTGGCAGCAGGTGGGAAAGGGCCGTGGTGTTTGTGGGGCCTCAGTGGCCTCCGAATGTCTATCCTCACATCCAAGGAGGGACCATGGTGGCACCTAGCCCTGGACACCCGCTGGACCAAAGGCCTCAGGGACCAATGGGGTGGCAGCTCCTCTAGCTCCCTCTAGGCCTCTGCACCTCGGCCCTCCCTCAGTACCCCAGACATGGCTCATCTGGGATCCAGCCCCTGAGCCCCTGTGTCCCTGAGTCTCTGTCCCCAAGTCTGGTGTTGAGCCCCGGGGTCTCAGGAAAGCACCTCAAAAGCTCCTGGCTTTGGGACCGGCGACCCTGAGCTCACTCCCCGACACTGTGGTGCAGGCTCCTGCCTCACCCTCCTGGAGAAAATGGCCTCATCACAGCACAGGGACATAGATGAAGAGACCCAGTGCCTGAAGCCAGCATCACAAAAACTGGTTCCTCACTTCCTGAAGCCCTTCCCTCGAAGCCTGCCCTGCTGACAAGGACAGCTTCCTTCCCGGGACCTCAACCCACTGTTTCCGCTGGGCAAGGCGTGTGTTCAACCCTGAGTGTTCTCTGGGCTTCCACAATCAGCTCCACCCAGACACTGCCCGGGAAGCCTGCAGCTGGAGAAGAGTGTTCCGGGCAGCTAGGGTGGGTTCTAGGCACCCCAGGAGTGAAGCGCGGCACAGCGAGAGAGAATGAAGCGGCCCCCAGGCCAAGGCTTTATTTCATGCTGGGGTCAGAGAGACTTCACGAACGCCTTCACTGCTCACCAGATGGATGTCCGCTCCCGCCTCCTCCCACGCTCCGATCCCCATCCCGCACAGCAGAGACCTAGAAACCAGGATCACTTTCTGAGCCTAAAAATCCGCGGCTCCCTCAAGGGCCCAGACCCCAGCCTGGCTCAGTCTCTCGGTCAGACCCTCTGCTCCTTCATCTGTGCGGGTCTCGCGCTGCCTACTGGAGAGCCCCAGGCTGGCCTTTCGGGTGAGGTCAGAGCTCAGGGAGGCCGAGGCTTCCTCTTGTTTTCCGTGGCCGACTGTCATCCCACTTTGAAACACGCAGAGAGGGAAGGTGGACCAAGGGCTCTTTCTCCCAGGAAGTTTCTGGGCAGCCACCGCCGGGCGCCAGGACAAGCGAGGGTGGCCTGAGTCCTGCGCTCACATGGCGTACGCCGCCCAGTAGATGACATTGACGGCCGCGAATGCCGCAGGGAACACAGCGCGGGCGTAAATGTCAATGGTGTCTGCGTCGATGGGCCTGAGCCGGGCGCGGATGCCCCCCTGGCCTCCCGAGCGGGCTGCCCCCTCCTTCTTCATCTCCCCCGTCTCCACCCCCACCGACCTGTAGGAGCCCATCAGGTTCCCCGGGACGCGGCGCTGCCGGCGGGAGATGGCCAGTTCCTGCGTGACGCCGGCAGCGGAGAGGGAGAAGAGGACGATGGCGTTCCTCACGTCCATCTGCACGGGGGCCAGTAGGGGAGACAGGGCTGAGCGCTGGGGGGCAACTCCCAGGGCCCTGGACCACAGGTGCTCCCATGCAGGGCCCCGCCTGGGCCAGCAGCTCCAGCCCGCCACGCTCAGGGAGCACAGCTGGGACCCACAGTGGGCTGGAGCAGCTGAGGGGTCTTCGTTGGGGCCCCCAGCAGTGCTGTCCCTGGTTCAGTCCCAGGCCCTCACCTCTGCCCTCGGCCTGGAGACCTTGACCTTGGCCTTCTGCTTCTTCCTGTAGTCGGCGTTGAAGTGCGCGAAGGCGTACTCCACCAGGGCGGCAAACACGAAGACGTAGCAGATCCAGAAGTAGACATCCAGTGCCTTGATGGCCGATGCCCGTGGCAGGGAGGAGCGGGCACTGACCATGAGCGTAGTCATCGTCAGCACCGTGGTGATGCCTGCCGGGCACAGGTGGTACCATCATTGTAACCCTGCTCTCATGCCGTCCCACCCCCAGCCGTGGTGCCTGTGACCCATGGATAAGGGTCCGCTGCCCCCCACCCCCGTGCCCACCCCAGGGAGCAGGTCCTGCTCCCCTGACCCGGCCTGGCCCGGTTGGCCATTGCCCCAGGACAGCTGGCATGGTCCGGAGGCCAGTGCTGGGCCCCCAGCTGAGGGATGAGAAGTCCTGCTCCCCAGGACGGACCTTCCAGCCCCCTCGGAGCATCGGCGAGGCCCCGTACCTAGAGACACCCTGGCGGGCACCGCCGCCTGGCTAATCCAGAAGGAGACCCAGGACATGGCGACCAGCAGGACAGAGGGCATGTAGGACTGGATGATGTACACGCCGCGGTTCCTCCGCAGGTGAAAGTGCAGGCTGAGCCGTGGGAACTGGCCGGCTGCCGGGACAGCCACCGTCAGCGCCCCCGTCCCTGCCCAGCCCAGCCCAACCGTGGGACTCAGGGGTGGCAGGGCTTGGCAGCTACAGGGCCCACAGCAGGGCTCAGAAGAGAGACTTAGACCCCTGCCCTCCCCAGCAACCACATGGCCTGAAATGTCTGGGGGTCTCCAGCCCTAGGTCTGGCCACAGGACAGGCTGGTCCTGAGCAGTGTAACCCAGAGGAGAAGGACAGAGGCTGAGGTTGCTGCTGGCCTCATGTTTGCTGGACTGGCCCTGAGGGACCCTCGCGGCCAATGGGGAGGGTGCACTCCTTTCTCTCCTAACACTTCTGCGGGCACAGCCAGGCTCTGGAAGGAGCCGGCACTGGGCTCACCCGCTCTGGATGACCAGGGACGGGGGGCGTAGGGGTGGGAAAGTGGGGCTGGGAGACAAGGTAGACAAGGAAAGCTTGGCCCCTGAGCCCTGCAGACCTGGGGCTAAGAGAGCTCCCCACACCCTCAGGTTTCCCATAAACCTGGAGTGCTGGGAAGAGAAAGGACCGAGGAGTGAGATGGGAAGGGCTGACCCACGTCCATACGATGGCAGGCCTGGTGGCCCTGGTGTGGGTGTAGCTGGTGCCAATGAGCAAGTTCCTAAGGCAGGAGCGTCCCAGCTGCATCCCCAGGGGCCCTGAGGGCCTGCGGGTGGCTTGGCGAAAAAGCATGAAAAGCACAGGTGGGCGTGCGCAGAAGGGATGGCGGGCACACGCGGAAGGGGCGGCGGGCACACGCGGAAGGGGCGGCGGGCACACATGGAAGGGGCGGCAGGCACACGTTACCGGACTTGAAGTTCATCAGCTCCGTGGTGAAGCGGTAGCTGGTGATGGTGAACTGCGCCAGCTGCAACTTGTCCAGACCATGGATGTGCTCCTGGCTCTCCGACCAGTAGTAGACAATGTCCTCTGATGAGTAACCGTCTGCAGGAAAAGCACACAGGTGGGCAGCAGAGCCTGGTCCTGCCCCGGGAGCCCTGGCAGGAGCACTCTGTCCACACAGGAAGCCTGCAGGGAGCTGACACCATCATGATGGGGACCGAGCAGGACCCCAGCCAGGATCGAGGAGGCCTTCAGCTCTGGGACCACGTCGAGCTCCTCTGGGCAGGTGGAAGGGACACAGATGGGGTCACCATCGTCAGGTGACACACAGGGGCTGCAGCACTGGCTTAACGATACCAATCCGTGTCATGTCTGGGCTCCACGGCCCGGCTCCTCAGGCATGCATGGACCCCACAGGCCAGACTGCTCCAGGCCTTCCGGCCCCTTCTCCTCCTGCCCAGGCTTCTTGCTCACGCAGAAGCTGGTTTGGTGCTTTCCTGCACCCTGTGCCGGGCCAGCCTTGTCCAGGCCCTGGGCTGACAGTCTGAGCCCCCATCCACTGCTGGAGAAGCCAGCGTGGCCCTCAAGAGAAGCCCCTGCCCGCCTTGCGCGCCCACTCACAGCTCTCCAGCTCCAGCATGCACTCCTGCTCATCCATGGGATATTTGGCCAGGTCCATGTCGCAGGCCACAGTGGAGGTGATTCTGCCAAGACAAGCATGGTGGTGAGGCCTTGGGCGCGAGGCCAGCCCTCCCAGAAGCCTGGCAGTTCCCCTGTAGAGATGCCCCCTGAGTACCAGGGGCTGCCTGGAGCCCGAGCTACTTCTCAGGCTGTGTTTGTTAGTCGCCCAGAATCCAGGTAAACCTGAAAACTGCTCAACTTCAGAGACGTTTGCTAGTCTTCATTTAGGACTATCAAGAACTGGATTTCATTCATTCTCTTCAAAACGCTTGACTATTTAACTGGACTGGGGGCCTACGGGGCAGGGGACAGCCTGAGCACCCAGGCCCTGGCCTGAGCGATGGCTGGGGAACACACAGGAATAGGCCCAGAGTTGCCATGTGCTTGATTTTCTAGGAGAGGTCAGATATTTGAATTCCTAGGTAAAATATCCTGATTTTTTTGTTTGTTTATGAGACAGGGTCTCACTCTGTCACCCAAGTTGGAGTGCAGTGGTGCAATCTTGATTCACTACAGCCTCAACCCCCTGGGGTCATGTGATCCTCCCACCTCAGCCTCCCAAGTAGCTGAGACCACAGCTAATATTTTTCTTGTAGCACACCATCAAGCCCAGCTAATATTTTTTTATCATTTTTGTAGAGGCAGAATCTCCCTGTGTTGCCCAGGCTGGTCTCGAACTCCCAGGCTGAAGTGATCGTCTCACCTCAGCCTCCAAAAAGTGTTGGGATTACAAGCGTGACCCACTGCACCCGGCTGCCTCCTGATTTTGTTTTTTCTTTTTTTTTGAAACAGAGTCTCATTCTGTCACCAGACTGGAGTGCAGTGATGCAATCTCGGCTCACTGCAACCTCTGCCTCCTGGGTTCAAGTGATTTTCCTGCCTCAGCCTCCCGAGTAGCCGGGACTACAGGCACCCACCACCACACCCAGCTAATATTTTGTATTTTTAGTAGAGACGGGTTTTCACCCTGTTGGCCAGGATGGTCTCGATCTCTTGACCTCGTGATCCACCCACCTCGGTCTCCCAAAGTGCTGGGATCACAGGTGTAAGCCACCACGCCCGGCCACATGCCTCTTGATTTTTTTAAGTGTTGCGAGCTAATTCCATTTTTGAGAGGCATGTGCCTGAAAACAGGCTTTCAAACGAATGCGCGCACACGTTCATAGCAGTGTTTTCACATTCACCAATGCAGGAAGCCACCCAGGCGCCCCTCGGCAGATGGATGGAAGGCAGGTGCAGTACGGCCCTGCCATAGGCCACCGCCCGGCTGTGAAGAAGAAGGCGCCCCTGACTCCAGCTTCAGCAGGGGTGAGCCCTGAGGACGTGGTGCGAGTACGAAGCCGGAGTCATAAACGGTCCCACACACAGCGTGTGATTCCCTTTCGGTGAAATGTTTCTGTCTCTGGCCAGATCCACAGAGACAGAAAGCAAACGGGTGGCTGCTGGGGTTCCAGGGGGGCGGAGTGGAGAGCACCTACTCCGTGGCTGGGTCTCCTTTCGGGGTCCTGAAATGTTTTGGACCAGACAGAGGTGGGGTTGCACAGCAGGGCGAATCTGCCAAACGCCACTGCATTGCTCACTTTACAAAGGTTAATTTTATTCCACCCCATTTTAAAAACCAAAAGGCACTGTGTTGGCCAAAAAGCCACATCTGCCGGCTTCCTGTCGGCGACCTTGGAGCGTGGATGTTTCCCCAGCAGCTGCGGGGATATAAATAACTGCGCAGCTTCTGCCCCCCCAGCTCCCGGCAGCAGGAACCGCTCGAGCTTTTCCAAGCCTTGGAGCGTCCAGGCGCCAACATGGGCCCGGGCAGGCTGTCCCCCAGGGCCCCGGTGGGCGGCCCGCTCACCGGATGCTGTACAGGATCACGCCGTCGGGCTGCAGCCGAATGAGCTTGTTCTCCACCGTCACGTCATGGAACCAGGCCGACTTGGCGTTCACGATGAAGGTGTCGGGCAGCCAGAGCTTGTCCACGAAGCGGCTGTCCAGGCCCAGGGTCTCATTGGTGTGGTTGTAGGAGAGCCTGCTATCCCGCCAGCTCTGGTGCAGGAACACCGTCATGGTGTACTCCTGTGGAGGCGGCACAGGGGCCGGGGTCAGCCTCGCTCCACCCCCAGGGGCATGCAGCCCAGGGCAGAGGCTGTGGGCACCCACCATGCCTGAGGCAGAGGCTTGTGGCACCTACCATGTTGGCCTCTGAGATGTGGTCGATGCTGGCCACCTCCAGAGCGAGGGCCACATTCACGGGAGGCCCTGCGAGGAGGGAGAAGAACTAAGAAGGGCTGAGGCCAGTCCAGCGCGAGAGCCAGGGTGGGACCCTGCCAGGGTCCCAGTCACAGGCAGTCAGCCATCATGGCCCGAGAAGTTGCACCTCCCTGGCTGCCTCTGTGGCAGCCTGGCTCTGATGGAGCCCCCGGGTGAGAGCCAGGCTTCCCTGCCCGGAGCCCAGCCCGGAGCCCAGTGGGCCACACAGCCACGGCCTAGCCCAGGCCCCAGTGGCTCCTGCCTGCCGGGCCTGGGCCGCCCCTCACCTCCGATGCCAGGCCGAAAGTTGCGGGCATAGCCGGCTATCAGCCCATCCAGGTTGGGGAGCCAGGAGATCTCCAGGTTGGAGCCCACGTAGTCGCCAATGTCATTCATCGCTCTGCGGTTGCAAGGCCACTGGTCAGACAGGCCAGGACTTAATTTAATTCCACTGAGCCTGGGTCCCTTCCTGGGGATGCAGCACTGTTCTGGGCACCTGGGCCAGGGTGTGGGGGGCCACTGTGGGAGCCCTTGCAGACAGGGGCCTGGCCAGTCCCCGAGGCTCCGGCTGGACACAGGGAATCCCGGGAGGTCCTCAGCCTCCTCCACCGGCCCTGACCTGGCTTCCTCCTCTGACCTCAGTGCCCACTCTGCTCTCCTGGCTTTGCGGGAGGTGGCCCTGGGTCGGACAGAGCCCCCCAGTGTGGGCCAAGCTCCCAGGCTAACAGAGGCTGGCCTGGGGGTCTCCACCCCAGGGTCCCTCACCAAAGAGGTCTCCCTGTCGGCTTTTGAGGGCGAAGCTTCCCCCATTAGATGGTTTGGAGAAGAGGAATGTGAGGAGGAGGCAAGATGCAGGGACAGGAAGAGGACAGGGCCCCAAAACCCAGACTCACAGCCCCCTATTCTCTGTCCCCTCCCAGGAAGGCCCAGGGTGAGGCCCAGGTCCCCAAATGGCCACATGTGTTTCTGGGGTTTAACTCGACCTCGGAGCAGCTCGGGGCAGCCAGCAGGGCCATGGGGGCGCTCAGGCTTGAGGGAGGCGTCTCCTCCCTAAACACACCGTGCTGCCAGTGCCCGGAGCACCCCAGCACCCCGGCCCCCATCTGCTCACCTGCACTGGGTTGAACAGTGTCCGCAAAATGCACATCCACCCAGAGCCTCAGAATGTGAGCTTATTTGGGAATAAGGTCTTTGCAGAGGTAATTAGTTAAGATGAGGCCATACTGGATTGGGTGGGCCCTAAACCCAAGGCCTGGTGTCCTTAGAAGAGAAGAGGGAAGAAGCTGGTGACAGTGCAGGCAGAGATTGGGGTGAGGTCTCCACAGGCCAAGGGAGGCCAGGGTTTCCAGCCACTGCCGGAGCTGGAGACAGGCCGGGGACAGAGGTTCCCTCAGAGCCTCCAGGGGAACCAGCCCCACCCACACCTTGATTTCAGGCTCCTGGCCTCCCGAGCTTCGAGAGAATAAGAGTCCGTTGTTTCAAGCCGTCCAATTCCTGGTGATTGTCTCACCCGTCCTCCTGCACACAGGGCGGGGATTGGTCCCAGGGGTGGGGCCTTGAGATTAACCTCCCTGTATTCTCGGAATCATTTCTATCCAAGGGGGTGGCGGAGTGGCTTCAGACATGGCCTCCAGGTCACCAGGCCCCTGAGCCTGGCCCAAGCCCTCCCAGAGAGATGAGGGGTCAGGGCCTGAGTCAGCAGCCTCCGCCTCAACAAGCCTAGAGACAGATTTGACCCCAGTTCAGACACAGCCTTGAGCGGGTGCTGCATGCTGGGCCACTCCACAGGCCACCAAGAGAAGAGCACAGCCCCAGGCCTCCTCCACGCCTGGTTCCTCAGGACCCAGCTGACGGCCCCTCCCCTCCTCACAGTGGGGGCATAGTCGTTGGCCTCCTGCTCCCTCAGAGACTGCGACCTGGGCTCGAGGCACCCCTCCACGCTGCCTGTCTGGCGCAGTCAAGCTGAGGCCGGGCCACCAGCCCCACCCCGTGCAGCCCCCTCCCAGCACCCCACACAGCGCACCTGCAGCCCACTCTGCTTGTCTGCCTCTCCAGCTCCAGCCCCCTTGAGTCCTTGGCTTCCCAAGGGAGAGGCAAGTGGGTCTGGTGCTTCAGGCTAAGCCCTGCCGGGGAGCTGCAGGGGCGGCTCCAAATCTTAAACCCACAGTTGCGGAGAAACACTGGGAAGGACGCAGGGAGGCAGACTCTCTCCCTGCCTCTCCCTACGTCCAGCCTCAACCCCGCTCCACACACTTTATCCTCAGGTGCGTCCTGGGGCCCCCGAAGACCACCGGGGTTTGGGAAGCAGCAGCAGGTGGGGGCTCAGGCCCTCTCCCTTCCCTTCAGAACCACTTTTCTTCTTGTTTTACACACTGACCTTTCAAAGATTTTGACTCTGAACCAAACGTTCCTTAGCTAACAAGATTTTGCCAACCCCAATCTGTCCTGGGCGACCGTGGTGGCCCAACTCTGGCAGGAGGAGACACCTGAAAGCAGCGTCCAGGGCTGCTATACATCCAGACCCAAAACCCCGCACCCACTGGACCCCCAGAGTGGCCCAGCACAGGGCTAAGGAGGGGCAAGCACTTTGGTAACAAAGGATAAGATGGAATCGAATTAAGTCCTGGCCAATTAAAAATGCAAATGGAAGTCACCCTGAAGGTCAGACGCAAAGGGATCTGAGTGAGGCTTTATTTTTGGACCAGCCCAGCTGCCATCTAGCCTGCCTGGAATGAGGCCATAGGAGACACCGTCCTTCCTGGGCCACGTCTCTTGCCCATCTCAGGGTGGTGGCACGTGTGGGGGGCATGAAGACAAGACCAAGAGCAGCCCCTCCACGAAGCTCACCTGGAGGCACCTTCGTCGTCTCCTGGGGGCTGGAAGGAAGCAGGCTCCCACCCCAACGCCATTTCTCACCTAGGAGAGCGGCCGGTGGTTTTCCCACTGTGAACAGATGGGAAGGGCCAGCGTGCGGGGGCATGTGTTTCATGCCAGACTCCGGGGTCTGGAGGCCCCCCACTTCCTCAGGTCAGGATGTACAGGGCAGGCAGAGCTAGCGGGGGCTGGGGGGACACAGCCTGCACCAGGGGAGTTCGACACAGGTGGGGACGTCCTGACTCTGGTACGTCATGGGGATCTCGGGAGAGGGCTGCTGCCTCACCTGGTGGCCCTGCGGCCCAGTGGTGGCCTGAGCTTGGGTTTCCTTTGGGTGGATGGACAGAGAGGCTCAGGGCCATACACCAGGCTCCAAGTCTACGCTCGGATTTAGGACTCCAAACTCAGGGGGCAGAGTGGGCGCCATGAAGACATGGCAGCTTCCCCCTCGGGTTGCTCTCCCTGGGTCACCTGGCCTCCTGCCCTCCTGGCCCCACTGAAAAACAAACCCATCCCTGTCACTTGTCTGTGCCCTGGGGACAGACAGGGAAGGTAGGTGTAGCTGGGAGCCTCCCCCTCCAGGCTCCTCCACGGCGCACACCCAGCCCACATATCCCACAGCTCTGCTTTTAGAGCAGCACAAGCCTCCCAGCATTGCAGTTACCAAGGCAAAGAGGAGCACCGCCACCAGCGCACCGCGAGCTGGCACGGTAGGAGCCGCAGCACAGCTTCTCCAGGGAGACGGAGGTGCCGGCAGCCCGGGAGGGCCACCCACGCGGGCACACAGTCGGCAAGCTCAGTGCCTGCCGCGTGCATGGGTCTTCACAATTCGGGCCGACCCATGGCTGCCACAGTCCTTTCCTATCCCACCCAGCCTTTCCCATGAGGAGCTGCTGGGATGGGGACCTGGGGTAACGGCTAGAATGGGTCCCACTGACATCCGATACAGCTCCAGGACGAGGACCCCGAGACTGAGGGAAGGGAGGGCGACTGTCCTGGTTTCTGGAACGGAGGGGCACAGCCACGGATGGGAGGAGAGGCTCTTCATGGACAGCACCCCGCTAAGTCTGAAGGTGGCCCCTAGGGCTCAGCTGGCAGGTGCTTCCACCCTCCAGGCCTGCCCCTAGACGCCAAGAGCAGGAGGTTGAGCCCAGCACGTGTGTGTGGACAGAACGACCTCAAAGGGGAGGCTGTAGCGTGCAGCCAGGTGGTCACTGTTTTTAACCAGAGAGCTAGAGGGGAACACAGCGAGGCGGTGCACCTCTCACCAGGCAAGGTGTGCACCCCAACGGCACCCCTCTTCCAGGGATGGGAGTGACCGCAGGCCCAGAGGCCCCCACTCCTGACTGGGCCGTGGCCTTCCAGCTCTCCTGCCGGGGGAAACAGCCACAGAACCCCTTCCCCAACAGCCCAGGAGCCAGATGCAGGCTAGGATTAAGGATCTTCAGATTTTAGAAAAGGGAAATGGTGGACACAGAGGCTGGGGCTGGGGGCAGCCTGGAGAATTTCCCGGCAAGAAGTGTACATAAATAGGTCCAGAGGTAGGATTAACAAAGATGAGAAGAGTCTCGCGCGTCCGTGCAGGACGGGACTTGCCGCCAACTGAGTTCTGGTGTCAAACTTGGGCTAAAACTTTGGGGTTTCAGAGCCGTCTAGATTTCAGCCTCTTGGCTAAGTGGCTGTGGGCCTGGGCTGGCAGCTGGCCGCATGTCTCCAGCACTGCATCTACGACTGTGCCCGAGGCTTTGTCCTTCCTCTCACCTTGAAGGAGGGGAAGGACAAGGGGAGAAAGGCCCACTGGGATTGATGGAAAAACAAAGCTCTTCCCAGGACGGGGGCTGCTTAGATCCAGAGGCAGCGCTGACCCTGTGGTCTCCTGATGGGCACACGGCTGCTGCTGGACCCAAGCCTTCTGGGCTCTGTTCCCCGCACCTCCAACAGGAAAACTCTGACACACCGCCCCGTGTTGGGTGCTGCCACCTCTACTGCGGGCAGCCACCTCTATGTCTGCATCTTCACGGGCTCTGAGATCCCCAATGCTGGGGGACAGGTTCTGGCTGTTTCTTCTGCAGTCTTTGCACTGAGGTGATTTTCAAAGACGCCCCTAAACGTCCTCTCGTGACTCCTAGGGAAGGCGGCCAGGCCCAGTGGTGGGGCCAAGTTGCCTGGGTGGCTGTGGAACCCATTTCAGATCCCCAGAGAGGAGGGGGTGGAGGGACTGTAGGCCAGAGGGGGCTCCAGCCCTGGGGGACCTGCTTCTAAGCCTCTTCCTTCTCTGGGGAGCCCCTCCCAAAATAGTTAAGAAATCCACCATCTCTTTTCTGTGGCCGGGGGTACCTGGCCGCCGTCCACCTGCACACACTCAGGAGTTCTGTCCACGCCATTTGAAACGGGCTCTGAAAGGAGACCCTGGAGGCCGGGCCCACCCTCCACAGCGACACAGCCTCCTCCGTCCGTCCCAGACCCGCCGGCTGGGGAAGCCCATTCGGGGAACGGGGAACGGCTCCCCCAGCAAAGGGAGCAGCCTCTCCGCACCGAGTTCTCGGGTCTTTCCTTTCCTCAAGGCACCGGCCGGGCAGGGACCTGCGAGTGCCGCGGACCCGGGGACCCTCCACGCGCGCCACGGAGCCGGGGAAACCGGGAGGCTACGACGCTCTTGTCCCGCCCGGGTTCAGCACCAGGACGGCGGACAGCACCGGGCGGTGGCGGCCAGCGCGGGGGTCGCCGCGCCCCGAGCCCAAGGGCAGCGTCGGGGCGAGTCCAACAAGGGGCCTGGGGGCGAGACCCCGGGGAGGGAGGACGCGGGGCCCCCAGACTTGGGTTCCGGGGCCCGGGGCTCGCGCCGGCCGCTCTCCCAGCCGCTATCTCGGGCCGACGCCGGCCCCCCACCGCCCCCGACCGCGCGCCGCGGACCCCGCCCGCTCACCTGGTGCCGCGGAGCAGCTGCGCGCAGAGGAGCAGGAGCGGGGCCAGCAGCGGGGCGGGCGCGTCCATGGCCGCGGCGGGCTCGGGACGGGGTCCGCGCAAACTTGGCTCGCGGCGGCCGCACAGGCGGCACAGGCGGGCGGGAGCTGAGCGAGCGCGGCGCGGGCGCGAGGGGGCGGACGGAGCGTGGAGACCGCCCCGAGCCCGCCCCAGCCCGGCGCTCCACGCAGCCCGGCCCCGCCCGCCGCTCCCCTCCCCTCTCCTCCACTCCCCTCCCCTCCCCCCACCCGCCGCTCCCCTCCCCTCCCCCTCCCCGTCTTCTCCTCTCCCCCTCCCCTCCCCACCCCCCGCCCGCCGCTCCCCTCCCCGTTCCCCTCCCCCCGCCTCCCCCTTCCCGGTCCCCTCCGCTCTCCCCTCCTCTCCTCCCCCCGCCCAGCCGCGCCCCCTCCCTCCCGGGCCGGGGTCTGGCTCTCCGGGACCGCTGCCCTCACGCGCCGCAGACGGGACCCTCCGCGTGTCTTCATGGGAAGCCCCGCGTGGACACCGTGGTCCACGGGCACGACAGAACCTCGTCCCGAGGCGGTTTGTTGGGGGTCGCAGGTCTGCGTGGCCGGTTCCGGCTGCGCCGGCCGGGGGTAGGGAGGGGGCCAGTCCCTGCAGCTGTCAGGAGAGAGACCTCCACCAGCGGCTGCTTCCAAAACCCTCCTGCCTTCGCCAGAGCCAGGGCGAGGCGACTTTGGGAGCAAGTCCCGGTCCCTGGGGACCCTCGACGGGGGCGGGGACAGGAAAAGCAGGTGGGGGCTGTGCCGCAGGTCGCAGTTCTGACTCTCCACACCTCTCAGGGCCCCAGGCCCGCCCTCCACACCCCTAGGATCTGGGAAAGGGAAGGCCTCACGCTCTCCTGCTTTGGATCTTTTGAACATAAAGTTGCGCTGCCGTTTCCTGAAGAGGCTGCTCACAAACTTTAATCATTGTTATGTCAGTTATTCACTTCTGGGCTCGCGATGTCGCTGACAGTACAGTGAAGCCCTCGTGAAAACACTTAAACATGCCGAAGCTGTCCCTGAGGCTGCTTGCTTCTGGATGAAGGGCCCTGGTGGCACAGGGGCAGGCGGAGAAAGTGCAGAGGGATTTGCTGGGGAATTTCCAGCCCGATCCCTACTGTGGGAAATGGAAGAATGAGGCTGGTTCCAGCTTGCTTGCTTTATTTTATTTTATTTTTCGAGATGGAGTCTTGCTCTGGTGCCCAGGCTGGAGTGCAATGGCAGAGTCTCGGCTCACTGCAACCTCCACCTCCCAGATTCAAGCAAATCTCCTGCCTCAGCCTCCCAAGTAGCTGGGACTACAGGCACCTGCCATCACGCCCGGATATTTTTTGTATTTTTAGTACAGATGGGGTTTCACCATGTTGGCCAGGCTGGTCTTGAACTCCTAACCTCATGATTCACCCGCCTCGGCCCCCCAAAGTGCTGGGATTACAGGCATGAGCCACCGCGCCCAGCCGCAGCCTGCTTTCTTAAATCCAGGAACGGGGCTGTAATAAGCCCAACGGGCTCAGCTCCAAGGCCCCCTTCCTGGCTGCTCACTGGTCACTGCTGAGAGGGGTCCTTTGGGTACAGAGGCACTGACCTCCCTGTGTTCCCGGGGTTCCTTTCCGAGCCTGTGCTCTGCACACGGGCAGCCTGGTTCCCACGTGCCCCTTCCCACGTGTTCCTTCCGTGGGTTAATTTAGGAGTTAATCCACGAAGAAGTGTCCAGAGCTTGGCCTGGCCCCCGGTGAGAGGCATAAGTTTTATTCTTTCCCCTCCAGGACAGGGGTCTTGTCGGTCTTCTCCTTGGTGGTGTATTGGATGAAGTAGGTGCTCAGCAAATGGAAGAGGAGGTGCGTGCTCCATATTTGCAAAGTGCACACACACAGTGTGACCAGCGCTCCATCACAGCCTCAGGACACTGCCCGGCCCTGCCTGGCTGTCATTCCTGAGCTTTGGAACTAAGCAGTGAGAGTGGTTCATGGTCGCAATCCCTTCAATATCTGTGAAGATCTTATCTGAGAATATCTTTTTTTTCTTTTTTTTCTTTTTTTTTTTTTTGAGATGGGGTCTCGCTGTCACCCAGGTTGGAGCTCAGTGGCACGATCTCGGCTCACTGCAAGCTCTGCCTCCCAGGTTCATGCCATTCTCCTGCCTCAGCCTCCTGTGTAGCTGGGACTACAGGCACCTGCCACCGCACCCAGCTAATTTTTGTATTTTTAGTAGAGATGGGGTTTCACCGTGTTAGCCAGGATGGTCTGGATCTCCTGATCTTGTGATCCGCCCATCTAGGCCTCCCAAAGTGCTGGGATTACAGGCGTGAGCCACCGCGCCCAGCCTTCTTTTTCTTTTAAGAGACAAGGTCGGCCGGGCGCGGTGGCTCACGCCTGTAATCCCAGCACTTTGGGAGGCCGAGACAGGCGGATCACGAGGTCAGGAGATCGAGACCATCCTGGCTAACCCGGTGAAACCCCGTCTCTACTAAAAAATACAAAAAACTAGCTGGGCGCAGTGGTGGGCGCCTGTAGTCCCAGCTACTCAGGAGGCTGAGGCAGGAGAATGGCGGGAACCCGGGAGGCGGAGCTTGCAGTGAGCCGAGATCTGGCCACAACACTCCAGCCTGGGGGACAGAGCGAGACTCCGTCTCAAAAAAAAAAAAAAAAAAAAAAAAAAAAGAGAGACAAGGTCTTGCTCTGTAGCCCAGGCTGGAGTGCAGTGGCATGATCTCAGCTCACTGTAGCCTCCACCTCCTGGGTTCACGGGATCCTTCCACCTCAGCTTCTGGAGGAACTGGGACCACAGAGGCACGTCACTGTACCCAGATAATTTTCTATTTTTTGTAGAGATGGGGTCTCACTATTTTTCCAGGCTGGTCTCAAACTGCTGGCCTCAAGGGATCCTCCCCCTTGGCCTCCCAAAGTGCTGGGATTGCAGGTGTGAGCCTCCTTATCCATGATGAACTTTGCTAGAAAGTTGTGCTGTTGTGTGTATGTCAGTTGAAGCTGGGCGGGCATCTTAGCCAAATATTTGGTGGTTTGGTGGCATCAATTTGTTTCCTCTTCCTTCAGTCCTAGAGGCAAATGCATGTCCCATCCATCATTCACAGGTTTCTGCAAGGTTTGAAGTCTGCACACTTCATTTCCATTCTTTATTGTTCCTAACTGGGTGTTTCTTTCTTTCTTTCCCTCCTTCCTTCCTCCCTCCCTCCCTCCCTGCCTCCCTCCCTTCCTTCCTATGTTTCTTTCTTTCCTCTTCCTTTTTCTTTTCTTTTCTTTTCTTTTCTTTTTTTTTTTTTTTGGTTACGGAGTTTTGCTCTTGTTGCCTAGCCTGGAGTGCAGTGGTGCGATCTCAGCTCATTGCAACCTCCACCTCCTCGGTTCAAGCAATTTTCCTGCCTCAGCCTCCCAAGTAGCTGGGTTTACAGGTGCCTGCCACCACGCCCAGCTAATTTTTGTATTTTTAATAGAGACAGGGTTTTCCCATGTTGGCCAGGCTGGTCTCGAACTCCTAACCTCAAGTGATCGGCCCACCTCAGCCTCCCAAAGTGCTGGGATTACAGGCATGAGCCACCGCACCTGGCCTCCTAACTAATATTTCAGTTTGGATCTGAAGAACGAGAATTTTCATAATTTCTTATTCAAGATTTTTGAGAATTAGTTTGTTGCCATTTCTGAACTTCCGTCCCATGGTGATGTGTGTAATCAGTCGGCTTCCTTATCCTCATCCTCCACCCAGAGAAGCTCCAACCACCCCAGAACCCGGAAGGCCAGCCAGGGAGCAGCCTCAACCAGGGGTCAGGAGCCAGGGCCTGCGTGGCTGGCACCTGGTGGACATGAGCCCCAGGACAGGGAGTTTCCATGCCCATGATGGAAGCAGCTCACTTCTCAGCCCCTTTCAAGAATCCGGGAAGAATGGCCAGCGCGGTGGCTCACGCCTGTAATCCCAGCACTTTGGGAGGCCGAGGCAGGCAGATCACGAGGTCAGGAGATCGAGACCATCCTGACTAACACAGTGAAACCCTGTCTCTACTAAAAATACGAAAAATTAGCCGGCATGATGGTGGCTGCCTGTAGTCCCAGCTACTCAGGAGTCCGAGGCAGGAGAATGGCGTGAACCCGGGAGGCGGAGGTTGCAGTGAGCTGAGGTCTCGCCACTGCACTCTATCCTGGGTGACACAGTGAGACTCTGTCTCGTAAAAAAAGAAAAAAATTTTTAAAAAAAGAAAGTGCATGTTGAAGCCACAATGACATCCCTCTACACAGTCATAAATGGTTAAACTTAAAGATTTCCAATGTCAAGTGTTGATCAGCATTGGAGCAACTTAAACCCTCACACACTATTGCGGGGAGTACAAAGTACAGCCACTTTGGAAAGCAGATTGGAGGCCAGGCTCGGTGGCTCACGCCTGTAATCCCAGCACTTCGGGAGGCCAAGGCGGGCAGATCCCCTGAGGTCAGGAGTTCGAGACCAGCCTGGCCAACATGGTGAAACCCCATCTCTACTAAAAACACAAAAATTAGCTGGGTGTGCGCCTGTAATCCCAGCTACTGGGAGGTGGAGGTTGCAGTGAGCCGAGATCACGCCACTGCACTCTAGCCTGGGTGACACAGTGAGACTCCATCTCAAAAAATAAATACATAAAAAAAAAAATAAAATAAATTACAAAAAGAAAAGAAGGGAAAGCAGATTGGCAGCTTCTTACCAACTTAAATATACAGTCCCCTTGAAACCCAGTAATCCCACACATATTTATTCAAAAGAAATGAAAACATGTGTCCATACACAGACTTGTATTTAAATGTTAAAAGCAGCTTTACTCATAATAGCCCAGAACTGCATACGTTCCAGAGCTCATCAACAGGTAGACAGTTAAACAAACTGAGGTGTGAGCATGCAATGGAATGAAATATTACTCAGCAATAAAAAATCCACTGCTAACATGCACAACGGTGTGGGCGGCTGTTCAGAGTGTGGAGCCGAGAGGAGCCAGACACGAACGACGGCTCTGCTAGAAATCCACTGCCACACGAGTCACTGCGACACACAGCTTAAAACAGCGTTTATCATCTCAGCTTTGTAGGTCTGG